AGATGGGATGGGCGCAGTGCTAAAAAAGGAAAGCACACACCCAGAGAGACGCACTCACCGGTAGAAGCGCGACTGGATGTACTGATGGAAGTTCTCGTTGACGTGGCAGGAACTCCCAAAGTCGATCACCTTAATGGCCGAGCGCTTGGGATTGACCAGGAGGATGTTCTCGGGCTTCAGATCGCAGTGAATCACATGCACATCTGGCCGGGAGAGGAAGACTAGAGCAGCACAGAGTTGGTGCGCAAACTTGCGCGTCAGGTTGAGCGACACCCCTCGGTAGTGCGTGTTCACTAGGAGCTCGTAGAGGTTGTAGGAGAGCAGCTCAAACACCAGACAGAGATGACCACGGTAGGTGAAGTGCCCCTTTAGGTTTACTAAAAGCACAAAGACAAAACCAGATGGCGGGCGTTATGTTTGCCGGTAAAGAGAGAGGAAAATTCACAGAAAGCACGAGGAATTTCAGTTAGTATGCAGGCTGCAAACTGGTCAATGGTGGGTAAGGTAGCCTTAACTGAAAATCGATATTTTATATTCAGACAAAGGCCTGGTGGGGAGGACTTGTATGGCCTCCTAGACAAAATATGAGAACAGGAACCATCCCCATTCACAGGTGTGTTTGTGTCGACTTCCAGAAAACTATAGGCACTCACACTACTTTAGTAAATGGCTTCCGGATAGATCTCATTATGTTTTGAAAAATACATATTTATCAAAGCCTTTGGCATTTTATAGTTTAAAGACATTTCGAAAGTCTACCACCGTCAGTAAAAGCCGCACATACATTTGAAGAAATAAAATTACTCACAAAAGGACTGCATCTGTAAACATTCCCGTAAAGTTTAAAAACGTGAACCTTGCGGATATTTTTACTCCGGTGATGTCTCTCCATTAGCGGAATCATGCGACATCCTCTTTACTCTAATCGATTTCATCGCGAACAATAGAAAAAGGGTGGAGGGGGCGGAATTATACCGATTTCTTACAACGAACCGTTTGTACAAACTTGACAGATATGAAGTTAAGCCAGATGTCAGATATAACTCTAATTCTGACAGACTAGTTAATTCGTATAAACTGGAACACGCGCAAGAAATTTAAATTTGAATAAGATGTTCTTTGGGATATAATAAGTGAATTTTCGAGTGAATTTTGAGTGAATTTTCGAGTTTAGCGCCCCAACTCGTCTTCGGAATAAAAAGAAAAGTGCAATGAACAACAAAAATTTCAAAACTGTCGAAAAAATCAATAGTTATACAAAGTGAGACGTGACTGGTAGGTTTGGTCTCAGTTAGTCTCTGT